CTTTCCTGATTGGAAAACGTTAAGATGAACCTTCTGGAGGCAAGGACCTTGGAAACTAGGGAGTTCGGAGAGCTTGTGGCACTTTCTCTGCCCTATTTCCATTTTTTATGTTCTGAAATTAGGACAAATTTCTGTTTATCTTGAAAAAAAAAAACCAAATAACAACAAAAAACCAGGAGTCAGCGTGATTCATTTTACCATCTATATTAAAAAACAAATGAGTTGCTTTAACTTCCACGAATGGGTCTTGGAAACAGGTGTTGCTTGATATCACTTACTAGACACGTTCTTGAAACGTAGACAAATAAAACGATATCTTTTAAGTGCCTTTTTATTTTGAAAGAGGTTTTCCGTTGTAAAAACCCAACCAACTTGTAGTAAATAGAATGATGACTCCCTAATGCATCTTTTTTTAAAATTAAGTTTCATCAGAAAAATTTAAAGTTTCACAAATCTCTGACCTTTGTATGAAAATCTGGCATTTAGCTGTCGGTTTTGCAATGTTCATGTGATAAAATCACTATGAGGAGGCCCCAGAGAGCCGCCTGGGGACATTAGGATAGGTTGCTGGGAGCCAGACCTGTGTAACAGAGAGGAGATGCTTGGAGAATGACTTCATATCAAATGTGGTATATGGTACAGTGTTGTAATCCCTACTTTCTCTGTCAGTTGAGGACAGAGTGGAGGGATTAGGCTAAAGTACGGCAGGGAACTGGGTTATATCTAAGGCAGAACTTTATACCTGTGCGTGTAGTTAAAGGAGGTCCTGGGCGGCGCACACAGTTACCATGCTTGACTGCCAACGGAAACGTTGGAGGATTGAGTCCACCAAGGGGCACCTCGGAAGAAAGGCCTGGTGATCTGCTTCTGAAAAATCAGCCGTTGAGAACCCTATGGAGCACAGTTGTCCTTTGACACACATGGGGCCACCATGAGCTGGAGCTGACTCAACGGCATCTGGTAACTGCTGTAGGTAAGAGGTGGACTAGGCTATTAAACAGTGAGAAGTGAAAGGGACTAAGAGATCATCTTCTCTAACCCTATCATTACAGGTCAGTGTCAAGGAGACTGTTTACCTGGGATAATTTAGGTGTGTCCTTCCTAAAGGTAAAACCTTAAAAAACCTATTGCTGTCAAGTCAATTCTGACTCATAGCGACCCTATAGGACAGAGTAAAACTGCCTCATAGGGTTTCCAAGGAGTGGCTGGTGGATTCAAACTGCTGACCTTTTGGTTAGCAGCCAAACGCTTTAACCACTGTGCCACCAAGTCTCCTAAATGTGAAGGAGTCTTAAATTTGAGTGCCTGAAGGTTCTTTCCGGAGACAGAGCTCTGTGACCGCACAAGTTCTGAGTGTGAATGTTGTGGGCTTTTAATTTTGGTAGATCATGTGGTGTTAAAGATGGAGAGGTTGTGTTTCTAGCTCTGGAGGAGTTTAGAGTCCCTGTGTGCTCATATTTTCGACATACATTAAATGAGTGTATTATGATAAGCACAAATGTCTGTGGAGTCCAGGCAGAGAAGAGATTACCCCTGAATGGAAGGATCGCAGAAGTCCACGACAGAGGCAGAGACGTTTGAACCAAGCCTTAAAGGGGCAATGGTTAACGCTTGGCTGCTAGCCCAAAGGCTGGCAGTTCATACCCACCCAGCGGCTCCACGGAAGAAAGGCCTGGTGATTTGCTTCCATAAAGTTTATAGCCAAGAAGACCCTGTGGAGCAGTTCTGCTCTGTCACACATGGGGTTGCTGTGAGTCTGAATTGAGTCGATGGCATAATCTACAACTACTATGATAGGAGCCTTTTAGTACCTGCATTGAGGGTTGCTGCTGCTGCTTTTTGTTTTTTATACTATTGATTATAAAAAGTTCCAGGCAAACAGAAAAATTACAAGAATAGTGCAATGAATATCTGTATGCTCACTACCTAGATTCAACAGGTATTAACAGTCTGTCACATTTGTTTCAACTCAATATGTGTGTGTGCTTATGTGTGTATGTATGGGTAGGTGCTTATGTGTGTGTGCTTGTGTGCTTGTGTGTATGTGCTTATGTGTGTATGTACGTGGCAGTGTTGTTTTGTAACCATTTGAAAGTAAGTTACAGGCATCATAACATTTTGCCCCTAAATAGACTCTAAGTATATCCATTTTACTCCAAATGTATGCCTGTATGTGTGTATCTATATCTATATAGCTATACAGGCGTATCCTAAAGACATTCTCCTACATAATCGCAATTCCATGATCAAAAACCAAAGAAAACTAACAATGCTGTGTTAGCATTAACGTTCGTTCTCTATTTCAGTTTCCCTCGCGATTCCCAACGTGTCTTTTAAAGCTGTTTCTTCACGTCGGGATTCGATCAAGGTTCACACATTGCGTTTTTGTTCTTATAACTCTGTAATCGCTTTTACTCTAGAATAGCACCCCCTGCTCCGCTCCCCATCCATTTTTTCTTCCGCGACATTGACTTTTAGGAGGATCTGACCAGGTTTCTTATGACATTTTTTGTTGATACCCCACCTGGCAAATTTCTTGTTAACTGAAGACTGAAAAAGTTTTTTTTTTTTTTAAATAGGTGTTTTCTAGAAGATACATTGCAAGATTGTCGCTGTGATAGCTGTAAATATATAGGTGTTGCTCCTAATATGACATTTTCAGTAAAAAATGTACTTTAAAAAAAACTTCATTTATAAAAATAAGGAGGTTGTAAAATGTTAGAATGATTTAGAAATATATAAAATAATAGAATTCTGTTTAAAATCACTACCATGTAGCCTTGAGAAAACTGCTAATAATTTTGGTGAACTTACATCCTTTCTTATTTGCTTTTGTGTATTTATTATAAAAACTGGGATCATCAATGTATATTGTTTTACAGTTTGAGTTTTAATTCAGTTAACTATATACAGGCAGCCCCCAGATTACGAACGAGTTCTGTTCCTAAGTGTATCTTTAAGTCGAATTTGTACATGAGTTGGAACAGTTAGGTACAGTTCATATCTAACGTCAGTCAGAAGTTTGTCTCAGTATATAGTATACCTTTCTATGCATAAAAAACATTAAAGAAGCACTTCCAGATACACTAAACCATCTTTAATATAATAATACAGTGTTAATAATGTGCTCACAAAGTAGTGCCCTTTTGTTATTATGAACCATTGTATGTACCTTGAATTTTTAATATTATAGGCTTTTCAGGCTTGGTTCCTAAGTACAGGTTGTACATGAATCAGACATCTGTAACCCGTAGAATGCCTGTGTTTTGGATGGCTTTCACAGAAGGTGAACTGGGGAATGTTTTTAAGAGTTGCTGAGATAAATTTGCACCAAGCCAGGCACATTCTTTCAGAGGTGTTTAAGGTGAGACACACCCAAAATGCAAAGTGCCTGGTGCAGGATTAGAAATGTGGCTTGTGTCTACAGAGCAAATATTTTTCTCTGTTTGAGGCTCTCTGGCTGATGCAGGAATTGAATCTTGGCGTCTGCTGTCCTGTGCTTCAACAAGTTGAGGGAATGCGTGATCAGTAAACACTGGAGAGCTCCGTGTTTGAATTCTGGCTCTGCTTTTTTTGAGGCGGGTCCGTCCGTATTCTTTTCTGCAGACATCAAGAAACCAGGTTGGCCACCTTCGGAGGTAAACATGATACTCTGCCAACTTGAAGTGATTTAGAGATGCTAATATATTCTCCCAAGCCACAGTCTCCAGCCTGCGTATTTTAAACCATCATAAAACATCTACCTGTCATGCTGAGGAATGCGCCGAGGGCATGCATCAAAGCCTGCCTCTGGGAATCTCTGGAGTGCTTCGCACGTTGTAGGGCCGTGTTCTGCCAACCGGGTGGCATGGAGTACTTGGGAGGGAGTGGCATGTCACTACTGAAGCCATTTTATTGATTAATTCAAGAATTCATACAAGTAAGTCCTTATTCATATCTGCCGATCTGAGCATCTTGGGGCTCGGGTAATTCTGCGTCAGCAGGTGGATGAAGGTGTGAAGACGGGGATGAAGTTAACAGAACCACCCTGTGAGCAAGAGGTGGTCCTGTGAGCTTAATGGAACAGAAAGTAGAACAGACTGGACATTGCAGACTTCTCTGAGAGATACTGAAGGAGCCTCCCCACGAGAGCATGGCTGGCTGGGAGCGGGGTTATTTTTTCTTCTCTCTGTGGCAGTAATGTCGCTGCTTTTCACTTGGTGGGCCGTCAGGCTGGCAGTAAATCTTGTTATTCGTGAGTTAAATGGTCTGTAATTAGGTGACAGGGCTTTTGTATCAAGCGTTGTAAAGGAACAAAATGATGTAGGGCAGCTCGCATGTCAAACTGTCTAAATATTTGCTGAAAAAAGGATAAGCAGTGGTTTTAAATGCGTTAACAAAGTCAGATGTTAAAAAAATTTAAAGTAGAAAGTAGCTGACTATTTAATGTGTATTCTTCCATTTAATGTCATCTATGCTAACGTTAATAAAAGTATATTAAAATAAAATAAAATAAAAGTAAATAAAAAAAATTCATAAAACTAAAGAGACAGTGTCCAAAGAGTGAGGAGGGACGAGATAAGATTTTAAGTTCAGGTTCAGTGAGCTACTTGAATCATTGAGCCTCACTTTTTTCATCTGTAAAATAAGGATAGAAATTCCACTTCTCCTGCTTTCCTGAGCAGCTAGGGCTGAGCGGGGAAACGTCATAGGTGTTGAGTAGACATTGGTTTGAATTCTACCTTTGCCATTGACTCTGTGCTCTGCGGGGTAAGTGCTTTATCTCGCTGCACCTCAGCTTCCTCAGCTGTAAAGTGGGTTTTGTTACGTCACCTGTGTAAGACGAGGTGCGTGGCCCCTGCCCAGACGTTTTGGGGCCAGAGCTTGCTGCTGCTTGAATCCAGATGTTCATCATCGGGGGTGTGTGTGTGTGCCTGTGTGTGGGGTGTGTGCTGTGCCATCTGCAGCGTACCCTTCCAGCTAACGCTGTGCCGTTCATGTTCCCTTTGTAGCCGTGTTCCGGAGCGCCACACCGGGAATGGCCACCTCTGTCCACACCTGGAGGAGCACGGTCGGTGGTGGACTCACCCAGTCACAAAGCTGCTGAGGACAGCTCAGGGACGCGTGTGCCGAGACGGGAAGGTGACGTCCGCGGGCCACAGAGCCATGCCTTTCGGTCTGAAGCTCCGCCGGACGCGGCGCTACAATGTCCTGAGCAAGAACTGCTTTGTCACCCGGATCCGCCTGTTGGACAGCAATGTTATCGAGTGCACGCTGTCGGTGGAAAGCACGGGCCAGGAGTGCCTGGAGGCGGTGGCCCAGAGGCTGGAGCTGCAGGAGGTGAGCGTGTGTGAGTGTGAGCGAGTGTGTGTGGGTGTGCAGCGTGGCGGCTCGTATGAGGGAGAACTTGCCGAAGGAACCAGCCATCTGTCTCCTGGCGCCTGCCACGTTTTTCAGCCCGAGGGATGTGTTTATGAGAATCCTGCTGTTCTTAGCACGGACCGGAGCTTCTCCGTGGATCAGGAGACCTGCTCTGGTGTGAGAAGTAAGGGCACCACCTAGAGCTTGCTCCAGGAGGTGGTTCCCTTTGGTTTCAGCTGGTGGAGGGGTTTGGGGGAGTTGAAGATGAGAGACTCTCCCCGCAAGTCGTTTGCAGTCTTTAGAACAATCGATGAGTATTGTGTGTTGGCATCTGGCTGCGCGTCAAGACTAAAACCCCCACACGGGGGGTGAATGCAGCTGGGCGTTTCTCTTGTTTGTTTCTATATTTTCCTCTTGGAAGGAAAAGCAGAAAAAGCATGTGAAGTGAGCGTGACCAGTGAGGCTTTCGGTGGGAGCTCGTGAACGGGGGTTTTGTTCGTTTTTAGGATTCCTCCTGGCACTTGCTTCTTTGTACTGTTGGCAAGACTTGTTTGGGCTCTAGGCAAACACAGGGCCTGCCAGTTCCGCGAGCATGCTGTCACTCTGTAGAAAAGACTCTGGGGCAGCTTTTCCTGGTCTTACAGACATTCGGGAGGAGGGACTTGCTGAGAAGTCCACACCTGTGCCTTTGCATCTTGAGAGCCATGTGACATATTGGCTAGTGGGATAAGATGGGACAGTTGACGGTTGCAGATCCTGACGTGCCTGCAAGCCCCCCGAGATCCAAGCCTTCCCGAGGGCAAGAAATGCGGTGTCCTTGTCTTAGGCAGTGGGCTCTCCTAGGGACAAGGGACACTTTGTTGTTGTTCTTTGCCATCGAATAGGTTCTGACTCATAGTGACCCTGTGGGCAACAGAATGAAACACTGCCCGATCCTGCGCCATCCTCACAGTCGTTACATTTCAGCCCACTGTTACAGCCACTGTGTCAGTCCATCTCATTGAGGGTCTTGCTCTTTTTCACTGACCCTCTACTTTACTAAGCATCATGTCCTTCTCCAGGGACTGGTCCCTCCTGATAACATGCCCAAAGTTCGTGAGATGAAGTGCCACCCTCCTTGCTTTTAGGGAGCATTTTGGCTGTACTTCTTCCAAGTGACAGCATTGCCCAGTAAATCAGGGTGACAGAGAAAAGGGGTGGAGGTGCCTGTTGCAGTTGATCGCGTTGGGTCTCCTCCCACTTCCTGCGCCGTTCGCCTTTCACTTGGAGAGAGGAGGTATGGTTAGAGAAGGTCCTTCTCTCCCCATGTCTCCTCCCCGGGCTGGCTGCTGTCCTCTAGGGGATTGTTTTACCTGGAGCATGTCTTTCTCCCACTGTTCTCTGTTTATACTTTAGCGTCAGTGATCAAGTCTCCCTTGATGTTTATTTTCTTGTGGAGGAGACTGTCCTGCTCAACAGATGCGCATAGCTCGACAGCTGACACAGTAGAATCAACGTGTAGAATGTTCTCATCTGGCTTCCTGGTAGCTGTTTCTTGTTTGCTTCTAAGCAGCACGTTACCCAGTTGCCATCCAGTCCATTCCAACTCATGGTGACTCCATCTGTCAGAGCAGAGCTGTGTTCCAAAGAGTTTTCAATGGCTGATTTTTTTGGAAGTATATCACCGGGCCTTTCTTCGAAGTACCTGTGGGTGGACTTGAACCTCCAACCTTTTAGTTAGCAGCCAGCTGAGCGCATTAACTGTTTGTACCACCCAGGGGCAGGTACACATATTTAAACACACACACGTGCATGAGTGTATGGGCATAAAGGAAAATCTGTACTGTGGATTGATTGGGCAGGATACTGGTCTACAGTCTTCTAAAAATGTTTATTAGAGACCATTTAAAAAGACATGCAGTGGTTTTTTACTTTTGAGTACTTCACTAACTCAGGTTAGATTAACTTCAGGGTGCACTGGGAGCAGGATAGCATGTGGTCTGATAGTTACAAGCAATGGGCTTTAGAGTCTCATATGCGGGTTTAAATTGTGATTCTGTTACTTATTAGCTGGGGAGCTGTGGAAAAGTTACCAATCCTCTCTGGGTGCAAGGTTTCCCACCGGTGAAGAGGGAATAATTATACCTATCCCAGAGAGGGAAACCCTGGTGGCGCAGTGGTTAAGAGCTATATCTGCTAACCAGAAGGTCGGCAGTTCACATCCACCAGATGCTCCTTGGAAACTCTGTGGGGCAATTCTACTCTGTCTGTAGGGTCCCTATGAGTCGGAATCGACTCAACAGCATCAGATACAGTTTATACCAGAGAGATGTTATAAATATGAAGAGATGCTGTTTGGAAAATACTTAGCGTGGTATCTAGTAATTCATAATAGTTCAAATTTGAAAGTCTTAGAAAAGCATTAATTTCCCATTAAAGAAAATATTGAGCAGCTGCGTTGTTCCAGGCACTGTTGTAGGACTTGAGGTAAATGAGGTACAGTTTGTCTTCCAGACCTTGCGGGCGAGTAGGGGATTTGACATTTAAATATGCAGTTAAGATCAAGCGTGGTTTCTGATGAAGCAGAAGGCAGGGCAGGCTGGGGGGCACTGGCTTCCCCCGGAATTGTGCAGTGCGCGGCCTGCCCTACTGAGTGCTGCGGACCTGGCAGGAGGGGAGAAGGGCCAAGGACGCCCTCATCACACGGAGCTGGTTTTGCCAAGGCCCGGGAATGTAAAAGAGCAGCTGGCCTTTATTGGGGGCTGAGAACGCATCACTGCAGATCAGTGGGTGAAGCTAGAGGGCAAGGTGCAAAGGAAGGGGTGTCCGGACCAGGGCTTCCAACCCGTGTTCACTTTCCAGCCCCTGCTGAGAATGTGCATTTCTAACAAGTTCCCAGGCCTTGCGAATGCTGCTGGTTAGGGGCCAATTCTGAGAACCACTAGTGGGGCAGTGGGTCTCAAAATTTATGATACATAAGAATCACCTGGGGATCTTGTTAAAATGTAGGTTCTGATTCAGTATATCTGGGATGGAAATACAAATTCTCAGCAGGGGTTCGAACTGGAATGAACTGGTTCGAAACTCTGGTCTGGACATAATACGCTCAGCTGACCACTGTTTCCCTTTAAGAGAGGGCGATGCTCAGCTCTGGGCTCTCCCAGGACGACATTGTCACAGAGGATAAAGCAGTGAGGTCCAGATTCTGCTGTCAGGGGTGTGTCTTGGTGTGGTTGATCTTCTGGTGCTCAGGTGGGATCTGCGTTGAATGCTGGCTTTATTGTGACGTGCCCTAAATGGGTGTGTCCACGTTACAGCAGATCACTTTCTTTTTGAATATTCTGCTTTCATTCCGTGACAGGTAATATAGACGGCTTGTCTGGCCTTTATGAATCCGTCCTGAATTAAAGGCTCAGGTAGAGTGGTCTAACATGTCGTTCTTCTTCACATACATGCACCTTGAGAAGGGTATGGCCCCCGCCCCAAGCAGAGGTCGAGGGGTGGGCACGGGGTCTGCTCTGCTCATACCTTCACTTAGGTCGTGTTTGCACACGGAGCCGATGGTGTTTTCCAGGAGGAAGTGAAAGTCGATCCGAAATATGTTTAATCGTTATGGGGGCCTGGAAGCCAGTTATGGTGGATATCTGCTTGTCATTAGAAGTAGTCTGTAGTCCAGGTGTCTCCCGAAGAGGGAACTTTATAACAGGACATTATAATAGGAGGTGTGGGGGAGTTTTACAGTGCACTGATGTGTCGCTCTTTAAAATGGCATTGGGAAGGGCATGGGCCTGGTCCATGTGGTCTGTGAATGCTGGTTGAGCACTTAGAATTAGGCTTTGGGGACATAAAGCTGATTGTGATACCCCCGCGGTCCAGTAACTCTAGAGAATAGGACCAACAAGAAACAAAGCACAGGCAACAGTGGACTGAGGTGCAGAAACAGGAAGGGCAGGGAATTTTCAGGAAGGGCAGGGAATTTTCAGGAAGGGCAGGGTTCGCTTTGTACTGGCCTGTGTGTGTGGAGGGGCTGTGAGGGCATACTGGGAAGGCAAGTGTGGGTTTGGTTTTGAAGGGCTTGCTATATCTGGCTGGGAGTTTTAACTAGATCCTGTAGGACAGTGTTTCTCGAATAATTAATCACCACTTTTTAATGGGCCACATGCTGTGCTGAGCGCTTTCTATACCATCATCGCATTCAATTCACGTAACAGTCTGTGAGGAGGCTACTCTTATCCCCATTTTACTGCGCTTACAAGTTGTGAGGCTGGTTTGAACCCAGATAGTCTGCATCCCGGAGCCCTGATGGCGCAGTGGTTAAGCACTCAGCTGCTAACCAAAAACGGTCGGCGTTTCGAACCCACCGGCCACCCTGCAGGAGAAGGATGTGGCGGTCTGCTTCCGTAAAGATTATGGCCTTGGAAACCCTATGGGGCAGTTGTCCTCTGTCCTCTTGGGTCGCTGTGAGTGGGAATTGACTCAATGGCAGCGGACTAAGGGTTAGTCTGAATTCCCACTCTAGTTCCTAGAGATGCCTAGTGGGGGGAAAAGGCTCTAGTTTTGTTTTTGTTTTTTTTTTAAAGTGTGTTTTGCCTGTCTTTCGTAATTATTTTAGCCTTCAATTAAGTCATCTTTTGAATTGTTTGGGGGAATAAAACACTGCCATGAGATAGAGAGCCCCCAAAGGATTTCAGGAAGTATGACATGACCACTTTGCATTTTGGGAAAGGAAGCCAGTAGCAGAAAAGAATGGCGCTGGATGGGGGACTGCAGGAAGAACAGAGAGGCCCGCTAGGTGGAATTAGCAGTAGTCTGGCAAGAAGACATAAAGCGAATTCCTTAGAAAACAGCTTTAAAATTGTTTTAAAGTTCAGAAAAAAGATGGGTGTGAGTTTCTGGCCAGAGACTCTTTTAAGGAAGATATTTAAGAGGCCTGAGAGGCCCAGAGAAATGCTGACAGCAGAGTTAACGAAGTATGCTGATCGTGGAAGGATTTAACCCCT